TGACAGAATAATCACTACTTGTGTATTTTATGTCATGTGTGTGCCCATATATAAAATGTTAATTTAGTGGTGTGCGTTTTATAAATAAGTCCATGGCATTTTTTGGTGTAGATACCTTACCTTGATATCCTATCCCTTTTCTGCCATTTCTGCTAACTCCATAGGTCATTGAATCCATCTTGCTTATGTCTATGTTTTTAGCTAGAAACTTCTGAAAGCTGTGATCATACTCTTTGATGATCTCATCAGCATTGCTGGGAGTTTCAGAGATTATTTCCTTCTGAGAGTTTTGTAAATCATTTTCTAATTTTGAAATTTTTTCTTTTAACTCAGAATTCTCTAATCTGAGACTCTCAGACTTTTCAGAGTCAGAGGCAAGATTCCTTTCAGGTTCCTGAATTTGACTCTAATTTGCGGATACCTTTCCAGAATTTCATTTAGACTTTCTGCAAGTTCAGCCTTAGTAAAGTTTATGGTGAAGTCAGGAAATACCTCTTCAGTGTCTGATTCTGAGTCTGAACCAGGAGCTTCACTATCTTCAGATATGTTTGCCATGAGAGCTATGTTTGCTCTTTCATCATCTGATTCTGAGTCAGCTACAGATGTGTCAGAATCATCCCATGTAGCCATGAGGCTTTTCTTATTTTCCTTGAAGAACTTCTTTTTGGGCTTTTCCTTCTGAAGCTTTGGGCAGTCACTTTTGTAGTTCCCTTGCTCGTACATTCATAGCAGATGATGTCCTTGTTGTTTGGCTTTCTGTATCCTGAAGAACCATCAAATCTTCTGTGTCCAGAGGAAGACTCATACTTTCTGTATCTGGAGGAGGATTCATTCTGATTCTCTGATCTTCTGAGATTTATGAACTTTCTTTGTCTCTGCTTCCACAGTTGGTTCACCCTTCTGGAGAGGAGAGACTGTTCATCCTCTTCTGATGAGGATCCATCAGAAGTTTCTTCCACAGCCTGCAAAACCTTAGAGTCAGATTTTTTGTTAGATTTTAAGGCTAATGGCTTACCTTGCTTTTGAGGCTCATCTTCTTCTAGCTCTATCTCGTGACTTCTGAGGAAGCTGACAAGTTCCTCCAGAGAAATTTTATTGAGATATTTGGCTAGCTTAAGTGTTGTGACCATTGGCCTCTATTGTTTGGGCAAACTTCTGATGATCTTCTTAACGTGATCAACAGTGGAATATCCTTTGTCAAGAACCTTTAGTCCAGCAACAAGGATTTGGAATCTTGAAAACATAGTTTCTATTGATTCACTATCTTCCATTTTGAATGCCTCATACTTCTGAATGAGTGCAAGGGCCTTGGTCTCTTTGACTTGAATGTTGCCTTCATGCGTCATTCTCAGAGAGTCAAACATGTTCCTGGCAGTCTTTCTGTTTGATATTTTCTCATATTTTGAGTATGAGATGGCACTGAGAAGTATTGTTCTAGCCTTGTGGTGGTTTCTGAATTCACGCTTTTGCTGATCAGACATTATTTTTCTGTCTATCTTCTGACCACGTCCATCCACTGGGTGCGTGTATCCATCAGTCACCATGTCCCACAGATCAGCATCATGAGCCAGAAAGAAACTCTCAATTATGTATTTCCAGTAGTCAAAGTTTTCTCCATCAAAGACTGGAGGTTTGCCACTAAATCTGTCCTTTTCTTCATGGTTGTCATTGCTGATGTTTTGGCTTGGTTCCACCATAGTGTTTTTCTGAAGCTTGGATCTTAGACTGACACAGTCAAGTGTTTAAGCTCAGAACCAGGCGCTCTGATGCCAATTGAAGATGTGAAAAACACAAGAAGGGGGGAGGGTTGAATTGAAAACTTGAAATTAACAGCTCAAAGACACAGTATTTTTATCCTGGTTCGTTTGATCTCAAACTACTCCAGTCCATCCGTCAAGGTGATTTCGCCTCTCCCCAACGAGGTCTTAATCCACTAATCTCAACAAGATTACAAAAGTCACTTTAACAACTGTTAAAGTCTTCTTGAATACAACCACAGTACGGTTAATCTCAAGGAACATTGTTTCAATGTAAATATACAAGATATGTGTTGTTATGTTTCTAACAAAACTGTTTATCACAACTGTGATAAATTACATAGGATTATAGCTTGGAAATATAAAGAATATTGCTTGCAACTTTGAATATGCGTGAGTGGTAATATGGAAAAAATCCTCTTTGATTTTGAAAGCCGACTTCGTTTATATAGGTAGTGGAATGACGTTGATCATAAAGCATGTTTAATGTTATTAACACACTTTCCATTTGGAGAAGATCCTGTCTGAAAGAAGCCGTTGGAATTGATGTTGTCTTGAATGATCAGTAACGCTTCAAAATCTTATCTTCTTGCTTGCTGATGACGCTTCAGAATATTGATGACTTGGATTGGTATGTTCTTGTTCAGAATCAGAGTTTACTTTGATTAAGCGCAGGTTCTAGTCATCAATCTTCAGCGCATGTTCTGATTGCTTCAGCGTGTAGCACTTATGGCTTATCTTTTGATGTTGATATGATCAGAACTTCTGCATACATAAAACATAATTTTTAAGGTGCATATTTGTTCTTTTTATTTATTCTTTGTATTTGTTATCATCAAAACTCTAACCAAGGGTTGTAGAATCAAACTATGTTCTAACAAAAAATACCAGATTTTTTCCATTGCTCATGTTTTTGTCCTTGAACTTTATCTAGCCAAGTAAGATAAGTTTTGTTACCTAGGAAAGACATAGATCGAAACACCCTAGCTTCTATGAACCTAACAATAATAGGATTTTCATGATTGAAGGCCAAAGGCTTAGCATGAGTGAAACAAGGGAAGTATGCTTGAACTTGCCTTGGATGATTTCGTTGGGTTGGGAATGGTCCATTGAAGGAAAAGAGTTTCTCTGCAACAACAAACGGAATGAGAATTTATTGTTGCCATATTTTCACTTTGTGTTCATCAAAGAATGGTGGCTGAGGAATGACTGTCAAGCTTTCTTCTTCAGAGAGAGTGAAAGCCACATGGTTGTTATCGGTGTTGATCGAAATGAGTGAGGAAGCAACCAATATGGTAAAAAAGAAAGGAAAGAAAGCAAGAACAAGGGTTTTTTTCGTGAATGTAGAAGGTTGCAAGAAAAACAATGCGTGAAAGAAGGAGAAGAAGATAAGACAATAGTTTGAAGGGATATTTATAGGCACGCTCAAGTATTCGATGATAGATAAGTGACGTTCAACGAATGTGACTGTTGCACATCAAGAAATGGAAGAGTTAGTGGAGTTGATTGAAACCCCACGCCCTAAAAACTAAGAGTCATCATGAGAAATGATGGAATGACGTTGGGAATAGTGGTGCAGAAAGTGGTCATCATGACGCATGGCTTCAGTTGAGTAGACCGGCAGTCGAAAATTCACAAAAGAAAATGCCAGACTTCTCAATCGACATGGTCTCTTTTGAAATTGGCATTGAGGAGAAATTTGTTAGCCAACAATTTTCTACTAAAAAAATATTATTACATGTCAAAAGGTCGTCACCCAGGACAAAACATCTTTGACATCACCCACAGACAGGTAAGAAGCGTCGACGAGATGATTAGAGAAAAGTTCCTTTGAGACTTAATAAAATTCATAATGAATTTTGAAGCTGGGTCGACATAATGGTTTGAGGTCAGTCGATTGGGAGTCAGATCGATGAAGGGTTTGAAGTCAAAATTGAATACAAAAAGCGTTTAACATAGAAGCGGTTTCATTAACGGTTGTCAATAAGACGCGGGAGGTCTCCAAAGGGCAGTTTTATCACGAACTCCAAACGTGATTATAAAATAACCGTCGAACGTGTAGGATAGTAGTTATTTTTGTTTATTTAAGTAAATTTTTTCATTCATGTCAGAGGTTGCATTTTGTAACATTGTAAGAAAGAACTTAAAATACATGTGTCAAGAGAGAAACGAGTCACTTCTGAAAAATGTATGAGTGTGTCTACTTTTAAATTCAAAGTAGTTTATTTCAAGTTCAGTTTATTTATCATTTTTTCCTTGCAATTGTCTTTGTTTTTACCTTTTTATGTTTCGGTTCATACCTTATCCATTTCAAATACTAAAACACCATATCAAATTTAACAATAAGTCTAGAATTCTTGTAGCTGATTCTACAAGTAACGTTCGTTTAGATAAGAGGCTAGAGAATGAATAGCACCAGAGTACCAATTCTGAATTGTTTAATGACGAGGATGATGGCCACAACGACTGGCTATATGGTTGTATTTGTTTTCTTGTTTTATCTGTTTGCTTTATGATTATTGCCAAGTCTCTTATTATAATCTCTCCTTTTTAATATATGAACTTTGTTTTCATTTGCACCTATTTGATCAAATGTGATATATAACGACTTTATTTTTTTCAAATTTGACAATTATTATGCATGATCGGGCGGATAGCGGATAGAACTATTTTTTCTTCTTGGAAGTGACTTTGGTAAGACGTCTTCCTCCTGCTCCTTGTGTTGCAGATCCATTCCTGTGTTTGAAATTGTAGTTGCTATATGCAGATTTTCTATGGCGGTTGCTTTGTTGGGAGTTAAGGTGTATCCTTTTTCTTCTCCCAGGTCGTAGCTGCTCTTGATCTTTATTCTAAAACAAAAAAGAAGTCTTTATTGGAGACGTTTTTGTGAGACCAAACAATCTAGAAAGGCTTGAATATTTTGGAAGCAAACGCGTGGTAGTTAAACTGAGTAATCGTTTGAAAAGCATAATAAAAAAATAATCAACTGAATCGATGTGTCAGAAAGCAAAGCAAACAGCGTATCAAACTCAAATCAAAATACATAAAGGCGGTCTTACACTTTTCTTTCCCACGCCCCTCTAACGCGCTTATCCAACACGTCATTCGTCTTTTATTCTTTGAAACAAAGCAACCCTATAGCTTCCTACTCTATATATACACATTTTTGCTTCTATACTTTTCATTCTTATCTTCTCTCATCAATCATCCTTCAACTTACTACTCTTCATCATCAACAACAACATGAGTTACTTTAACAATCAGCAGCAACAGGCACCTATATCATATCCACCACCAGCTGAAGCTTATTCTACGTCTCAATATGTAACTGCACCACCACCTATGGGTTACCCTTCCAAGGATGGTTCTGAAAGCTATCCTCAACAAACAATTCCAGATCAAACAACTACCAGAGGTGATGGTTTCTGGAAGGGATGTTGTGCTGCTCTATGTTGCTGCTGTGCCATAGATGTCTGCTTTTAACTTCTCATTCATTCATACAACATACATACTGTGCTTATTGTTTCTTACCTCTCTTGTTTGTTTCCTATTCTATTCTTTCTAGTTTGTAGAAAATAAGCATTTGTTTGTTTTTGGACATTATGTATTTATTTGTCCATTTCATGGATGATATTTGTTTCCCTTCTATTTCATACTTTACCATTTTTTTTAAAGTAATTTTATGATGTATTTAGTCTTTCTAATATAACCCGTGTGTCTCTACGATTTCAATCTTCACCGTGAAATTATCATTAATTTATTATAAAAATTTAAATAAATTAGAGAAAATCATCACTAATTTATTATAAAAATTTAAACAAATTAGAGAAAATTGAAATATTTTTGAAAAATATAAAATGTGAAAAATAAATTAGTAAATAATTATAAATTAGAGAAAATTGAAATATTATTGAAAAATATAAAATATGAAAAATAAAGTGGAAAATTATTTTTAAATTTTAAGAAAAACTATTAAACACATTAGAAAAACTACATAATTTTAAAAATTAGATACACAACCATATTGTTTAGTATTAAGAAAGATATTCTAATATTTGATAAAGATACATTATCTTCTACTCTTTTCTCTAAAAATCTGAGAAAGTGTAAAGAAATTATAAACATAATAATATAGAAATTAATATTTATTTTATCATTAATATTTTGATTTGGTTCAGTTTATTCTTATTAATGATTAAAATTTCTTTGATGCAAAGACAGTAACAGGTGCTAAAATGTAAAATATCATATACCATCAAATATAAAGTAAACATAAATGTAAAATATCATATACCATCAAATATAAAGTAAACATGTACAAAATTAAGTCAGTTTTTAAATAAGTATAATATACATTGTCTTCTCCTCTTTTTACTAAAAAATTCAAAAGCGCAAAGAAATTATAAACATAATAATATGAAAATTAATATTTGATTTTATCATTAATATTTTGATTTGGTTGAGTCCATTCTTATTAGTAAAAGTTCAAAAAGTGCAAAGAAATTATAAATATAATAATATGAAAATTAATATTTGATTTTATCATTAATATTTTGATTTGGTTCCGTCTATTCTTATTAATGAGTAAAATTCATTTGATGCAAAGACCGTAACAGGTGCTAAAATGTAAAATATCATATATCATCAAGTATAAATTAAACATGTACAAAACTAAGTCAGTTTCTGGAATTTTTTTTATTAATAACCATGTATTAAAATAATATTTCACAAATAATCGGGTTTCGGAAAAAATTATGCAAATAACCATGTTTCAGATGACTCCCCAAAGGAGGAGTCATCTCACTTGGCGCCTCCACCTAGGGTTTTGCCCTAGGCGCCATCTCACTTGGCGCCTCCCTTGGCTTTTAGCCAAGTGAGATGGCGCATGCTCCTTAAAAGTGAGAGGAGGCGCCATCTCACTTGGCTCCTAGGGCAAAACTAGGGCAAAATGTTGTTTTATAAATAATTCGTCCGTTTCTCCGAAATTTCTCACACTTTCTCGCACTGTATTTTTATTTTGTACTCTGTTATTTGCGTCATGACGTCGCCTATGATTTTTAGCAGAGATGGTTACGTTATCTTCTCCGGAGTGGTGTAAGATGTGGCAGAGGCGTCACAGCTATGTCTTGCAATTCCCGGTTTTCCTTAATCAAGGTAATATGCGACACTCGGATCAATATTTGTCTTGGTACAGGTCGATTAGTAACCCTGAAATGCATGTGTCTCATCCAAGGTACTTGGTTGACCCACGCACATAATGGGCACAACCCTCGTTTCCCCATCAACAAACCCAAAACCCGTCACCCTCCCACCAACCCACAAGAAGAAACAGACCCACAAACACCCAACCACAGTCCCCACCACAACACAATTACACTCAAATGCCACACAACCAACCACAATCACCACCACACTACCAATACCCCGATATGCCTCACACCCAACCACAATACCAATCCCAATACCAGCACACCCGCATACCCCACACACAATTTCAGTCTTCCACATATCCCAATATGGGCCCCTCAACATCCAGCCTTAGCCCTGATATGGGAATGTTGGAAGATTACAAACAAACTGACCCAGCCTACCATCAACCACAATATAACCAAACCAACCAACATCCTCAATACCAAACACCCCAAGATCCATTTCCTTTCTACCCACCGTACTCAGACGATCAATGCTACAGACCCGCTATGGAACCGCACCCACCGCCAACACGACCAAACTTTGAGGATATGGGTAACCGACTGTACCAAAGCGGATCTTCTAGATATGGAGATCTAACTGATTTTATGGATCCGGACCGCATTGACTTCGTTGGGCCATCGACCTTGTCGCAGCAGGAAACGCGACGACACCCAGCACGAGAAAGGCGAGGACGGGGATGCGGAACCAGGGGTCATTACCGGGTTCCGGGGGATCACTGATTTATCTGTTTTTTTTTCCTGTATTTTTTTATCCATTTTTTTAATCTGTTTTTTTATCTGTTATTTTAATGTAATACAGTTGGATGTAATTATTTTTTTTTTAATAAAAAGTCCATTTTGTTGATCATATGTCCAACACGCAACGCACCGGACAAAAAAAAATCAATTTTTGCCCTAAAAATACACCTAGGCGCCATCTCACTTGGCTTAGGGCATGCCCTAAGCACATAGGCGCCAAGTGAGATGGCGCCTCCCCTTAAAATATAGGTGCGTGCGCCATTTCAGATGGCTCCTCCTTTGGGGAGTCATCTGAAACATGGTTATTTGCGTATTTTTTTCCGAAACGCGGTTATTTGTGAAATATTATTTTAATACTTGGTTATTAATAAAAAAAAATCCAGTTTCTGAATAAGCATAATATATACATTGTCTTCTCCTTTTTTTCATAAAAATCTCAGAAAGCGCAAAGAAATTATAAACATAATAATATGGAAACTAATATTTGATTTTATCATTAATATTTTGATTTGGCTCAGTCCATTTTCATTAGTGAGTAAAATTCCTCTGATTCAAAGACAGTAACAGGTGCTAAAATGAAAAATATCATATATCATCAAATATAAATCAAACATGTACAAAACTAAGTCAGATTCTGAATAAGCATAATATATATAGTAAAATTCCTTCGATGCAAAGACAGTAACAGGTGCTAAAATGAAAAATATCATATATCATCAAATATAAATCAAACATATACAAAACTAAGTCAGATTCTGAATAAGCATAATATATATATTGTCTTCTCCTCTTTTCCCTAAAAATCTCAAAAAGCGCAAAGAAATTATAAACATAATAATATGGAAACTAATATTTGATTTTATCATTAATATTTTTATTTGGTTTAGTCCAATCTTATTAGTGAGTAAAATTCCTTCGATGCAAAGACATTAACAGGTGCTAAAATGCAAAATATCATATATCATCAAGTGTAAATCAAACATGTACAAAATTAATTCAATTTTTGAAATAGCATAATATATATGAATGGATTTTAATTTATATTGTGCAGTATCTTTCACAACATACCGGTTGTCTATATATCTTGGTATCCCACCACCATCGGGTTGTTGCTGCTGAGAGAAAGAAGTTCCAATCCAGTTTTGAGAAGGATACACAATTAAAAATAATCATTATCCTTGTAATCACACTCTGATACCTGCAAATGGGACCGAATAACTTGAAAAAAGAGGAGGAAAAAGGCAGTATGCCATATCAGAAAGCTACTTCTTTGAGGATTGTTGTACTCCAATTTTTGCCCCTAAGATTCCTCTATCATATCATATCAACTCAATCATAACAAGATCACATGAGGGTTTGGTTCTTCTCCTTATCTTTAACTTTGTTCATGGAGAATCACCAAGCACTTTGACTTGTATTTTGTGATCATCTATGTTTTGTATTGATTAACTTTTAACTAATAAAAACAATGAATGTTTGTCCTAATTGTTGATATTATAGGTGAAAGCACAACACATTCCATCAAGTTGATCTACAGGTTCATGAGTTTATTTTCATGCCTTCTTCAACAAAGCTTCATTAAGATTCAAGCTTCATCATTTAAGATTCTTTAAAGTAATATCATGACAAAGTCTATTATGATCCATCGTGTCTCAAGTTGTCAAAAATAGTCCAAAGATGCAAGGGTTGATTGGAGAAGTTTGACCTAATTGGACAAGTCTTTGATTTCTTGATCACAAGTGCATATCTCTCTCAATTCTCAATATTTGGAAGTGGTTATGGTTGTTGTGGTTTCTCATTATCATCCTCAACAACTTCTATTTACATAACAAAAGTATTTGTGCAAGAAGGTTTGTCAAAATTGAAAAAGTTTTTCAAGGCATTTTATTGCTCTAGGAGCTAGGGTTTTGAACTTCTAAAGGCTATATCTTGCTCATATTTTGGTATTTTTGAGTGATTCTAAAAACATGTTTCTCTTCAAAGGATTTTCAATAAATCACTTCAAAAGTTTCAAGAAAATTTTGCGTGGAAGATACCTAATGATGGAGAAAAATTACAAGTCCTCTAGATAAGTCATCAAATTCCCTTATGTGACTTCAAAAGATCATAACTTGGTCAATTTTTATCTCCTTGAGCCCATTATTTTTCCAAAATAATCATAAGGGTGTGAAATTTAACTCTTGTTTTATGTGTAAAGTTCGAAAATGGATGGAAGATGTCCTAAGGATGCAAAAGATTATAGGTCATCTCATGAATTTTCACCAATTTTGCAAGACCGTAACTTTTTCAATACTTGGTGTTTTTGAGTGATTCAAGTTTCACAATGCTCTTTAGGAAGTCTATTTCAAGCTAGCATCAATGATCAAAGCTCAATTTTGGAGTAAAGTCTTGTTTGAGCTCAAAACATTACAAGTCATTTTTGAAGAGAAAAATTGAAATTTTTCTTATAAAAGTCAGCATCTTTTTCTCAACTTTGTCTCATCACAACTCTTAGCTCAAACATCCATTAATTCCGATTTTTTCACATTGTAA